AGTCATTCAGCTTAAAAAATGCTAGACACTGGGCATATAATTAAATGATAAATCTATGCAAATAAGAGACAGGATTGACCATGGGAGAAATATCTCTTTATTCACTAACAGGCCTCAATATGGAACTGCCTCCCAAGATGGGGTTGTCAGTTCCCCTTTGGTTTTAGGAAGTCTCATGTTATTTGGAGGAACATTTGGGGAAATATGTATTTTATTCCAGATGTGTGGTATTTTGTTGGAACCTGTTACTATTATGAATTTAAGGCAGTTATGCTTTTTTATTTTGGTTTTGTTCTAGTGGTTGATGTATTTAAATTGTTTTTAAGCTAGGCCTTTTAAAAGTATGTGGAGGGATATACACTGGAAAACAAATCAAATAAACAAAGATTTCAAGGAAAAAATGGGAAGAACCTTAGTCTCAGTGGAACATTGCTGGAGATATCCAGCATCAATGTGTTATGCATTATTAAGATTTACATTATCCTAGGCTTTATTTAGATAGCATTCTTTCTGTAGGGCATTAATGCTTACAATTATAGGTCTGGCTGAGTCATTATTATTTCCCTATATAACACAATCAGGAACATAAACTGAAAGACAGCGGCTTGCCCTGGGCAGCAAGTCCATGGCTGCGCTAAGATCTGAACCAAAGTCCACATCCACACACTTTCATTTGCCTCTCACTCCCGTCTTACACAAGCAGTTTCTAAACCCTTGGGGATATTCCACAAGCCCCTGAGGTTACAGCAAGACATCTTTGTTCAGGCTCTTTTTACAAGTCAATTCCTTTTTTAAAAAATCCTTTTGAAGTTTTTTCCATATATAAAAAGAAAAAAAGGCAGAAAAAATTAGAAAAAATAGGTTAAAGAATCCTTTTGAAGTTTTTTCCATATATAAAAAGAAAAAAGGCAGAAAAAAATAGAAAAAATAGGTTAAAGATATTATCTATTTTTATTGCTAACTGGAAGCCTCTAATTGACTTTCTGCATGCAAATGAAAAAAGTGAACTGATGATCTGTGGATCTGAATTTTAACTTTTAAATAATTAGGATAATTGGTGGACTGGTAAGTGATCACGTATTTACTGTTATTTGTAGCAATAAGTGATAGTATTTGGGTTTGTCATCGAGAAACTTTTTGAAATCTTCAAGATATGTTTCTCTGATTTCCCTTTTTCTTGCCTTTCAGGGCACAATTCATATCCATATTGTGCCTGGATAATAGGCGTAACTTCTTACTTAGTCCCAGTCACTTCCTAACCCAAAAGCCTTGACTAAACCGACGCAGTCCCATTCCAAATAGTTACAGACAGGCCACCCTTACCTGCCAACCGGCTGTTGCTTAACAAACTAGCCCCCGCGCCCCCTATGACAGACAGCTTTCTAACCGTTCTTGCCCCGCCTCCCTTCCTAGCTGCGCCCCGGCGATTGGTGACGGCGCAGGCGGCGGGCCGGGTCTGGGACTGACACGCGATGCCCACGCCCTTCAGCGGGGAGGGCCGCGCGATTGGCTGGCTGGCTGGCGCGCGCGGGGGTTGGGAGGGAGGAGGAGGAGGAGGAGGAGGAGGGGGGCAGACTTCCCCGCCCCCTTTCCAGCAACCCCGCAGCGCTGCCTGCCGGAGAGCGGGCGACTTCCAGTCGAGAGATGGCGGCCACCGCGGGCAGATCGCTGCTGCTCCTCCTCCTCTCCCGGACTCCCGGCGGCGGAGGAGGGGCGGCGGCGGCGCTGACAGCCGCGGGCTGCTTCCCAGCCCTGGGCAGGCACCGCCAGCAGCCGCCGCCGCGACACAGGACGGTGAGTGGAGGCCGGCGCCGGGACAGGCGCGCGCGCGAGCGGGCGGGCGGGCAGGCAGGTGGTGCTGAGGCTGGGACGCGGCGCGGGCAAGGCTGGGGCTGCCGCCCTTCTGACGAGAGCCCTCCGCCCGCGGCCAGACTGGGGCACTGAAGCCGGCGGCGCTGGGACGCGGGACGTGCCTGCCGGGGCCGCCCTTTCCTCTTCCCTCCCTCCTTTCCCTCCGGCCGGCCGGCAGGGAGCCCAGCCCAGAGTCCGCCCCGACAGCCGAGGGACCGCCCGCCTGGGACAAGGGCGACCCCTCGCCTCTCGCTCTCTCTCGCTTCCCCGCCTGCCTCCCCCGTTGGGCTTCCCCTGCCTCCTCCGGGGAACCGGCGCCTCGGGCAGACCAGTGCGTAGCGCCGCCGGGCTGAGAGGGGCGAAGGCAGCGATGCCGCTGCGGTGCGCGGGGAGAAGAGGCGGAGGAGGGAGACGCCGCGGCGGCTGCCACTGCTGCAGTGACTTGGAGGAAGAGCCCTTTCCTCTCTCTCTCTCTCTCTCTCTCTCTCTCTCTCCCCGCGGTGCTGCTGCATCCCTCGCTGGATCTCGGCAGAGCCCCGTCGGCGGGAGCGGCAGCAGCAGTCCTCGCGTGGCCCTGCCTGAACTCGGCTGGGGGGGCAGGTTGCCCGTCAAGGAGCAGTGCCGCCCCCCCCCCCCGCTCCGGGGAAGGTTTTGGACATTTGGCATCACTCCAATATCCCTTCATCCTAGGAGCTGAAACGAGGAAGAGGAGGAGAGGCCAGTCCTGTCATTTTCTTTGCTCTCCCCTCCTCGGTTGTGTTGACTTAGAAGTGGGGAGAGAGGAGCCATGGCACAAGGGTCTTCCCCCCCCCCCCTTCCTTAGATCAATATTGTGACTGAATGCCAGTCAGTGATTTCTCACAGTTGTAGGAGAAGTACGCTCCCCCCCCCTTCTCTGAGCAAAGTTATTTGTTCGAAGCAGAATCAATGCAGTGTGGCTGGGCTGAATGCAGATCTTTGTGGACACACTTCGCCCTGTGTTTTTCATGGTTTGAAGGTTCGAGCTGTAAGATACAAAAAAGTGCATTGGCCTGCCTTAGTGACAGCCATTTGTTAAGGTTGGCATGAATGGCCAGGTAATCGGAAAGTTTGTTTACTGCACATGGCACTGCTGGGCTCAGGGTTAAAGCCAATAATTCAGTTAGAGAAAGGGATGTGTGTGGTGGATGCTCCATTGCTCAGTTGCTGTGTGTATGGTCTTCCTAGTTACCTTCCTGTTCTTTGAGTTACATTTTATTACATTCTGGACGCTTATTGCACTGTGAATGGCATTTCTGTATGCATTTGGTAAAATCCTGCCATAGTCTTGTATGTTGTTTATGCTTGTTAGGTCATGAATGTGCATGCACTCCTAAAGCTGCCCCAAAGGATTCTGTACAATTTGTCCAAATTCTTGTCTTGTCTTCTGTAGTCTAAAGGTGCTGCCAATGCTTCTGTAAGGTGAGCAGGTCAAGTTGATAAAACAAGGCTGTAGTAATACTTAAGGTAGAAAGCAAGAAGGCCAAAAAGGCCCACAGTATATTTTTCAGAGTTTTACCAGATCTACAACTTCAAAATGTTTTATCCTGCTGATTTGAAAACACTTATTGTTCTCCTTCTGGATGTTGAAAACATAACTAAATGCAAGAATAAGTCAACTATTAGGCACTATGTTACTTCTGTTTACTTTTCCTCCCTCAGTGGGATCTTTTTCATGTGACACATGGTATGTGAGACTGCTGTGCAGAAATGAAAGTTCAACTAGACATTGAGTTGTACATGGTATGAATTGAGGACTTGTTCATGTAAAGCGATCCTTGTAACTTCCAGCTGGAGATCATGTAGAACTTTAAAAATCTGCCAGACCTTTTCCCCAAGGGACCAGGTAGCCATTTCTGCTGTTCCATAATCTACAGTTTTAACATATTAACCAACAGCTCAAGAAAAGAAACTGTGCAGAAGTGCAAGGAAACAAGGAAGTGCCAGTTATAATACTTGACAACTTCATCTGATAGAAAGCGCAACTTACTCAAATCCTCTATGCTTTGCTCATTGCTTTTCAAGTTCAGTAGAAAAATGTCAGTTGGCTGAAGTGAATGATAACAGTATAAAGCAGTTTGAAGAAGGAGGCTCATAGTACCATCCTATGCAGAGGTGCTCAAATTTAAGCCCATTGAAATTGGCGGGCTTAGACTGGAGTAACTTTCTACAGGATTGCAGTGCCAGAGTGTCATATTGTCAAAGAAAGCCTTTATGATGAGGACACTTTGATATGATGCTAATTTCAGTCAGTCACCAAATGAACTTTGTAACTGTGCTGTATTGTTGGGAAAGTTGTATCTGGTGAGCAGGGTTGCTCAAAAGTATTACGTTCTTCCAATACATGAAGAGACATAGTTGAAGTATGGATGGTTATAGTTTCATTCATTGAAGTGACAGACTTCACGTTCCTGGGATCCCAGATCACCGCAGACTGTGACTGCAGCCATGAAATTAAAAGACGTCTGCTCCTTGGGAGGAAAGCGATGGTGAACCTAAACAGTAGAGACATTACCCTGCCAACAAAAGTCCGCATGGTCAAAGCAATGGTATTCCCAGTAGTCATGTATGGCTGCGAGGGTTGGACTATAAGGAAGGCCGAGCGCCGAAGAATAGATTCTTTTGAACTATGGTGCTGGAGAAGACTCTTGAGAGTCCCTTGGACTGCAAGAAGATCAAATCAGTCAATCCTAAAAGAAATCAACCCTGACTGTTCCCTGGAAGGCCAGATAATGAAACTGAAGCTCAAATACTTTGGCCACCAAATGAGAAGGGAGCAATCACTGGAGAAGACCCTGATGCTGGGAAAGATTGAAGGTCAAAGAAGACGGGGACGGCAAAGGATGAGATGGTTAGACAGTGTCATCGATGCAACAAACATGAAATTGAGAAAATTCAGAGGACAGCGGAAGACAGGAGGGCCTGGCGGGATCTGTTCCATGGGGTTGCGAAGAGTCGAACTCGACTGCGACTGAACAACAAAAAAGTTTCATTCTGTTCTTTGTTTTTATCTTCTCTGCCACCATCATATTCAAGAATAAGCTCTTTGTGATATTTTAAAAACCCCCAGACAATTGCTTTTTTTTTTTTTTTTGGTTTTCATTTTGCTTCCCGGTTATATGAGGTTTCATGGAGCAGTCATCCTGTGTATGCAATAAATGGCACCCTCCATTGGTCAGTCCGGTTATACAAGGTCAGAATATGCTCTGACTTCTACAGCTCCTTTGGTCTAGTATGTGATAGAGACATGCCAAAGTTGGTTGGCTTGTCCAGAGATCTTTACTCCACGCTGTCATGTGAAGTAGCCTCTTTCGCTTGACTCGGCTGCTCTTAGGTTGGAGAAATCAGGGTGATGGAATGGGTTCTGGATCTCTCTCACCTCTGTGTAGAAACTAGCTGTGCTCTAGCAAAGCCTGTTTGGGTTTAGCCTTGTGAAAAGCATAGGTCACTGCCAGGTAAGAATTGTGTTGTTTGCTTAAGGAATGTTACCTTTATTCTGCCAATATTGAAGTGCGGAGGAGAAAGAATTTACTCCATTGAGCTTTGCTTATTTATTTTGTTTCCAGGCAATGGCAAACAGAGCTGTGCATGTGCTGTTTTCTTTTCAGCATACATGGTCCTTCTTTGGAGGGTGGCCTTCATCGGTTTATTTGTACAGCACAAAAATGAGTTTGTTCCAGTGGGTTATAAGATGAAGAACACATTTGGTTAAGGTGTCGATGAGGAAGCATCTGTATGGGAACTGGGGTTTGATCCTGATTTGCATCTTCAGTCCCCCCCCCCCCCCTTTTTTCCATTTACTGCAATAGCCGTGTGTTTTTCTGCACTGGTTTAACACATCTGCGGTACCACTGTAGATGAAAGTATGTTAGGAGCGGGGGGTGGCATCTAGTTATTTTATGCTTCCTCAATCTCTTTGTGCGTGAACTTTCCCACAATTCTGTTTGGTGCAGGATTTGGGACTAAAAGTGAATTTGCAGACAGACCTGCCCTCAGAGTCTTACTATATGGCTAACAGTTAACTCAATTAGCAGATGTATTATGAGAGCTCAGCAGATGTGTAACAAGAGTTTCTGTTTACTAAGGAATTGTCACCTCCTAGTGGATGAATTGTAGAGTTTAGTAATATTTTTAAGTTGGTGGTAATATAATTTTGAATACAATAACTAAATGTCCGGGTTAAAGAGCTGATCCAGATGTTCAGAGAGTTGTGTAAAGCTGTCCTCTGCATAAGCTTACATGTGAAAGAAGGTTGTGATGTGAGGAGGCTGCTTGATATAAGTAGGTCCTATACACATCATGAGATAGTTGTCTGGACTGTGCTATGTGTTTGTGTGAACATTTCAATTACTCACTGGGAAAATGAGCTGACCTACAGTATATTGTTTTGCAAATTAACCATTTAAAGCTGCATATTTGGATATTTTCATACATCGATACCACTTCTGTTGGGGGGGAGGGCAGCATATACATTATGCTTGTTTTGTTTTTTCTCCATACCAGTTTTAAAAAGATTTGCCAGCAGTATATGTAAACTGACAGAATTATTACATAAACATCTTGTGATGCAAAAAATGTAACAGTTTTTATATAATGAAAAATTAAAAAATGGAATGTGTGTGGTCATGAAACTTTTGGACCTCACACATTTTAAATGCAGAATTAAACTTTGCTGGTCTTAAAGGTCCCACTGGACTCAGACCTTGTTCTATTGCTTCAGACCGACACGGCTGCCCCACCCTGAATACATTTTAAATGTGTACAGTTCAAAAGCTTAACATACTTTCAGCCATGCTTGTATTTTGTTAGTTTATACAAATTCATTCTATCTGCCTAACTGGCAAACCTTTAAAAAGTTATTTCTGAACTGATACCACCTTTCTCCCTCATTTTTTCTGGTACATACATGCAGTGGTAAACTTCAA